TTTTGTGTACAAAAATACTCACTCCTCCTTTCTCCAGTGTTTTCCTACAGTATCTAGCACCTAAATTATAATTTTCTAAGTGAAGATGTTCTAATTCCAGCTGTTTCATGTGATGTTCAGTAAGGCACAGTATGTGTGGAAGATTTGAATTCATGGAGCTTATTAGTTCATTTGTTTTGTTTCTCAATCCTCTTATATTCTGATGGAATATTCTTAGTACTTAGATGAGTAGAGCATGTAGCATGTACGGAAGATAATAGAAATGCCTTTTAAACTTCTCATAGAAAAACCTGAAGGAGAGATATCAAGCAGGTTAGTGTAGCGGTGGCTTTCAAGACTCGAATTAGTGGACGTGTTGTATTAGAATCTCGACCGGAGCACCGGATATCCTTGTTTTCATGGGTTTACTCAGTATCTCTTGAAAAGTGCCAGAATAGTATCTTGGACTAGTCCACGACCACCTTTTTCCAAATTATTTTAAGTTCTTTAATCATCATGACCGCCTCTGTGGTCTATCAGATTTTCTGAGAAGTAGTGAGTCTGAAACGGGGTCCACTCAGCCTCGTGAGGATAACTGATGAGCTATTTCATAGAAATAACGGCTCCGGTCTAGAAAACCGAGATTAACGGCCGTTGGGATTCGTTGCGATGACCACGTGACACCCTCTATCCACAAAAGTTGGTACTAACTTCGCCGACAATCGGCGGTAGCTCGGTCGGTATAGTTCGTTTGCGGGTTTCCTTTAATCATCGTAACGTTTTCCGCTGTACAGTGTAGAGAGTGAGAGCATTGGTAAAATCTCACAACCAATTCAAAGGAAACAGATCGCTTGGAAGGGCATAGTTATATGTTTTCGTTTTCCTAAAAATATTGCGTGTTTTCTTGACTAGCTGAGCGAAAGTTAGACTTTTACAAACATATCACGTTTCTTTGATAGTGGACTTAGTTTGTCACTTTTGGCCGCGCCATAGCTCAAGCGGTTAGTCGTTGGCTTCCCACCGCTGCGACCCGGATTCGATCCCGGGGTCTGGTCAAATGGGATTTGTGGTGGACAATTTGGCGTTCGGGCAGGTTTTCTCCGAGTACTTTGGTTTCCCCTGCCAATCTTCATTTCACCAATTGCTCCACAATCACCCTCACCTATCATCTGGGGCTGGTACAATAGGCCAGAAGTGGCCGCAGTACATGGGACTTAGTCCCACCCCACTAGCAATAAAGGAAAGATTATAAGCATAGACCTGAAATATCTTAACCTGGTTACGGATACCGCTCTCTGCTACCATGAGATATCTTCTAAAATCAAGTGCATTATTCAGGTTTCCATATCTGGAGAGTATGATGCCGTGTAGTCTTGTCGACAAGTGGTATAGAGCAACATACGGCCTGCATCTTCAGGGTCAGAAAGAAGACTGTAATATCACTACTTCAAAAATCTCATACAAATGATATCATTGTCTACACATCTGATACAATAGTCATATCATCATGAGTCTGGATT